ACACAAAGTATTCACTTATTTCATTCATTCATCTATCTACCCATTAACTGATTGAATCACAAGTTACCAGAGAATTAACTAAGGTTGTCCAGAGCAAACAGCTGTAAAAGAAGAGTCAAATATGAGAAATTATGGATACTGTGATCAAGGATTTGCACTTTTTGGAATTATCTAGTCAGCTTTCCCACTGTTTGTGTTGCGCTTTCTGCCCCCAAGCCACCCCCCCCCCACTAATTGGAAAGGTGTTCAGGTTTACGTGCTTCAAGAAAATTAAAAACAAAACATGTCATCCACTTGTCTTGAAGCAGCAATCCTTTCTTTAATTTGTCCCCAACGTCTCTAGGGAGTTGACATCTCAATCACTGGTCCGAGTTTGGCTTTTGAGAGTCCCTGTCAACCTCCTCACACTGATTTAAGCCCACAGTGTGGCACTGTGACACCCAAGCCAGAGCAATCCATGCTGCATAATTCAACAGTGCTCCCAAACCTGTCTTATTAAGGATCCTGGCCATGGTCCATGGCTATGAGATTGAGGCTTTGAGTGACAGATCTGTTGCCAGCTTAGTACACACAGGCACAGACCCAGAGTAAGCCTGAGCTTCAGATTCAGCTTTGGCCCCTTCGAAACCTGGCAGAACTAACCTCAACATCCAAAAGCACTGACTCCAGTTGTGGTAGGTGTCCTACACATGACAAGCACTGGACGAAAGGAGAAAATCTGATCCAGTCTGAGCTCAGTGTCAACACTGTTTTACCCTGCAGTTGATTTTAAGTTGGGATTCCGGATTTCTATTTTCTAACCTGGAAAAACAAAATTAAAAATAGATCCTACTTGGGTCAGGTATGTTTCCTCAAACCTCATTGTTTTATGCGTGTGGCTGCTGCACTATGTTAATCCTGAGGTGCAAAATACAACAGCATTTTGCAAACCACAATGATAAAAGACAACAAAAAGAGAAAACATTTCACAAATCAATGACAGTTCAGATTACCGAACAGGCAGGGACAGCACTGCTTGCTCGTGACTGGACAGAACCCAAGTTAAGATCGTCTGACACTGTACTGATGTAAATCCCTTATTGATGCAGTCTGTGAATGTTGATGCTGTTAGACTAATTTTAAACTTATTTTTTAGGCCTGCTGA